TGAACTGTGAAGAGAATAGACAAATTCTAAAATAGGAGGTGATATTTACGAATCATTTATCTGATAAAAATCCAAATATTGAAAAAGGACAATCCTAAATAATAAGAGTAAATCATCATAATATTTAAGAAGACAATCCAGTTTAAAACTGAGTGAGTGATGCATTCCGCCAAAGATACATACATTTCTGTTTAGAACATGAAAAGATAGTGCAAATTATTAGTCATTAGGAAAGGGCAAATTCAATCCATAATACAATATATTTTCACATGTACTATAAATAGTAAATATTTTTAGAAAAATAATAACCACTGTTGTTGAGTTACAGAAAAATAGGAATTTTCATCCAGTGCTCCAATTTGTGGATGCATAGTAAATGCACCAATCAAACAAAAAAAGTTTTTTAAAGAGACATGAAGGAAGAACAGAGGAGAAAAGGATTCTCTCTTGCAAATGGGAAGGGGTCCAAGGGACTGGGCATGAGGGGTAAGAGGGAGAGGATGAGGAAATAAATACCATAAAGATAAGCCATGTACAAGATCCTAAAAACCTCAATGAATGTAAAAATTGTATGCCATTAGAATGAACTATGTTTAATAATATCAACAAGAATGAAAAGGGAAATAGGGAGCAGGAGGAGAAAAGATTAAGAAAAAAGAAACAAGCTGTATTATGTACATGTACCTACTCCCCAAGATAATTGTAAAATGCAAGTACTGTAAACATGTAGTAATTAAAATCTGAAAAAAGAAATTATACAATAATTTTTCATACAGCTTCTAAAGATGTAAGCGCAATCTATTCAAATGTTCACACAAATACTTCTAAACTTATTGTATAACACTATTATTCATGACACCCAACAAGTGTAAATAGCCCAAATATTCCTCCAGTTGTGAATGGATTGATGACCTGTGATATATCTGTAGGATGAAATACTATTCAGTAATAAAAAGCTAAGGCCTCAGTCTCATTTTAAATGAAAGAAGGCAGACAAGGATATCATTTATTCCTGATTCTATTTATTGGAAATGTTCATATAAGGTTATTGCACAAATGGAAAAGTAGAATAGTGGATTCCTCAGGGTGCTATTGGAAAATGGCAGAAAAGATCTGTTGGAGGAAATGATAAAGTTCTATTTTTAAGTGGTAGTCATTTACAACTATCTGAACTTACTACAAAAAATTCAATTGTGCAGTAAAATGGGTGCATTTCATAGTAGAATCTTACAACAGAAGAGCCTACTTAAAAATATCACTAAAGGGCTGGGGATTTAGCTTAGTGGTTTCAACACCTGCTATGCAAGCACAAGGACCCGAGTTCGATCCCCAGTACCAAAAATATATATATATCACTGAAGATTATTTTCTTTTACCTAATTATTCCTGGACTTTTGTCAGCTTTCAAACTAACAAGCACACAGGGCTCTGAGCCTGGAATCCAATTTCCTTTCAGATCTGGTGGGCTTTGAAAAGTACCAGCATTTGGGAACCTGCTTGTTAACAAGTGCTCAAGGTGGATGGAGTTCCAGTAACCTTTTGGGGTAGGCATGGGTCAGTGCACAGGAATTGCCACTGTGCAAACTCTAGGACCCTCTAGGCAGGACCATTTCCTAGTCACTTTCCTCAGGCCATGATTTCATAACTCCTTTTTGGGCTCTGAATGAGCAATGGTTCCATGTTTTCCCATATAGCTCCATTCAATGCGTTTCAGTGTAATAGAAATAGAGAAAATTAACTATAAGGAAACTATCATGACCTGCATTGTACCATTGCTGTGCTAGTAAATGTTTAACAACCATCTCTAAGGGAATATGAAAGCCTTAGTTTTTATAATTTGCAAATCTCCATAAATATAAATCAATTTCTTTTTTTATAAATCAATTTCTGATGAAATTCCTTCAGCAATTGAGAGAATGAGAGAGACAAACATTAAAGATATGGCAAACTAAGAACCAAGGTGGCCTAATTTCTAAAGAATTCAGTACAACACATGGAAGAACTTGCATACTACTTGAGTGTACTATTGACATTCACCAAGACAAACCTTAACCAGTGCTGTAAGAGAGAGTTAAGTGAGTCTGTAAGGGTAGAAATCACACAGAGCATGCTCTCTAACTAGAAAATCATTCAACTAGAAACCAAACAGAAACCCACCCCAAACCAACAAATTTTAAATTATTCAACTAAATAATATGGATAAATTACTAAATTAAAAGCAGTTTTGGAAAACATTTTGACTTGAGGGAGAAATGAACCACACGTTACCAATTTTTTGGCAAATAATTAAAACAATATTAGAAGAAAATGTGTGTGTGTATATATATATATATATATATACACACACACACACACACACACACAGTCATACTTTAAAGGAAGAAAAATTTAAAATTATTGACTTTCTGGTACTTTTCTCAGGATTTCCCAATGTTCCTTGTTGTATGGTTGTATTATTTTAACCTGAGTATTCAGTCAAAGCTGCAAACTCAACTACAATTTCAGTTTGGCTGTTGGTATTTTAGGAGCTACAAGTTTTGGAATCACAGTTGAGTTCCTCCAGGCAGCAGCTGAGGTAGACTCACAGCAGAGAGCAGCTCAGCTCGTGAGTGAAGAGGTTACATGTACACATCACCTTGCTGTTACTGTTGTCTCTTTAAGACAAAGATAGGCCTTTAAGAGGCAAATTCTCAGTTAAATAGCATCCTCTGGTTGTGAGAAGGGATGGTTCACAGATTCTTATATTCTTTTTCAGAATTTCAAAATTAAAGTTAATCTTTCCCAGTCCTCACATAATCATTCAGGTATTGGAAATATACTTGTGAATTGAGATAAAATTTATGAAGTATGGTGAGGGAGTTTAAATGGATACACCAATAATTGTATAAGTCACATTTAGAAGGAGAAGCTCTTAAAATTGGAGATGATATCATTAAGATATAGAAAAAAGGATAAAAACATACAGAGAGAAAGAAGAAATATTTCATTGATCATAATAGAACAAATGAAATGAAGTAGATCAAAAGCAAATTCTGGGAATACAAAGCAAGATGAACATTAAGGAATCTGCACCCACTTTATGGGCTGTTCTCATATCTCTTACTGTCCCCATAACTCGGGAATGCTGGCACATGAGCACTTTTAGAGGGAGTATAGCACTGCCTTTGATTCTATTATTTGTAATCTAAACTAGATTCATATAGGTCACTATTTTGTTCTTCTTCAAGAGGAAAATGATGATTATGATAAAAGCCAAAGACTTGGCCATGTGATTTTGTCTCTGGAGAGGGACCATTGGTACTGATGGACACTGTGTTGAAGGCTGTTGTAGTCTTGACTGTATCAATTGTGTCAGAAACAGCAAGGCGGAGAATGGCAGGGCAACTACAGAAAAAGAAAATGAAAGTGAATATGCATGTGCATGAAGAAAACTCATAACACAAAAACATTGCCTGATTCCTCAACTGAACATCTTCAGAGCAGCTGAAGTATCCCCCCGAGAGATTTCTAGGTTTTTGTAACAGGTTATATCACTGCGAAAGGCCAATTATCATCCTACTGATAGAAATAATATGCACCATCCTCAGATTTCAAGCCATTAATTGTCAGTGTAAAATCTGTTCCATATCCATTGCCAATGAACCAAGAAGGGATCCCAGAGATGAGAGTAGTAGCTTCTTTAATAAGGAGTTTAGGAGCTTCTCCTGGTTTCTGTTGATACCAATACATCATCATCAATGTTTCCTCTGGCCTTTCAGGTGATGGTGACTTTGTCTCCTACAGCCACTGACAGGAGTGCTGCAGACTGTGTGACTGTAGTTTCTGCCAGGTAATCTGCTAGTGGAGGAAAGTAGGAAACTGAAGTTATGTGCATTATTTTTGGAGAGAATGAAGAAAATCATTTTCTTATAATATGTAATATTTGGTAGAGATTCGGAAGACTTAAATCTATGAACTAGAAGACAGAAATCCAGAGGTGGAAGAAACTGAGGAACTGAGCCTGGGACAACATGACCTTTGCTCTGACCTTCAGCTGCTGGATTTATTATTATACCTTCTGTTGTTTTGCTTGATTCAGCTACCAGGAATAGATTCCATGGATAATTGTCAATGTTGATCCTTTCAAGCAGGACCCTCCTCTATTGTGATGGAATCTGGGTCAGAGTTGTGGGTCATTATCACTCCTCATTGCCATTAATTCAGTCTGCATTTCTCATCTCCACATTTATTTTACATTAACACCAATATCATTTTGATGGATATTCATTTTATTGAACTTTATCATTAAACCCCAGGAATTGGGACTGGAGGGATTTTTTTCTCCATATTAAATATCTGGCTCGATCATTCTTCATACTTCTTTATCTACTAGAATAATATGACGTGATCTTATGTGTGTAGATAATCTACTTCAATTTGTTCCTCCTATCCTTCTATAGAAATCAGTAGGCAGATGTATGAACAAAATTGAAGGCTAAAGACTTAGAGAGGTGATTTTGGCAAGTAAGAGAACCAGAATTCTATCCCTGGACTTTTTCTGAAGGCCAGAGAATCATATGGCTCCAGGACCCATTACTAGGTGTTAATGCGCTCTGGTGGCACCAGGGAAGACCCCATATGTCTCAATTCTCAGCATCTCTCACTACCAGGGCAGTAAAACTGTTGAATAGGGTATAATTCTCCATATTAAACCAATTCCTGCTTGGAGTAAGTTGAACATTTTCTCTTTTACTCAGTGAGTTCCAAATGATGCCATAACACAGAATCTTTAGATGTAATAATCTCTCCTTTATATTGAGAAAGAAATTGATACTCTGGTTTGATAGAATAGAAAAGGTGGAAAGACCATTAAGGTTCAGAACAGAATTTCTATACCTTCTACCAAATCCTTCAGTGACTTTGAAAGCCTGGCTTCATCTAGGAAAGATTTTCATTAGTTAGGGGAACCAGAAGGGGCAGCTGAGGCAGCCCAGCCTCACACTTCTGCTTTTTTTGGAGGTTTATGTTATGGCTTGTATCACTGTGGGAGGGGAACTATTATGCTGTAGACAGTAATAAGTTGCAACATCTTCAGGCTCCAAGTTGCTGATGGAAAGAGTAAAATCTGTCCTGGATCCACTGCCACTGAACCTCGATGAGACCTCAGATTGCAAATTGTTACTATTATAGATCAAGAGAGTAGGAGCTTTCCCTGGTTTCTGCTGATACCAGTTTAAGTAACTGCTAACGCTCTGACTGGCCTGGCAAGTGATGGTGACCGTGTCTCCTAAAGAGGCAGACAGGTAGGATGGAGATTGGGTCATCTGGATGTCACATAGTACACCTGACATAGGAAACATAAACACAATCAATCAGGTTTTAAGAAAACTTCTCTGAAGAGTCAAGAAACACTGACCACACTGTGCTGAGGAAATCCCTAGTGTCGTCCCTCCTTACCTGGGAACCAGAGCAGCAAGAGCCCCAGGAGCTGAGCTGGGACCCTCATGTCCATACTGTGTCTGGACTGGCACTGACTCCCGCACAGGGTGTGACCAGCCTATGAAGAAGTGCTCAGGGCAGTGGGCTGTGCTCTGGGCACATGCAAATCAGTGGGGGGCTGGGCACAGCTGCAGGGCTGGCTTACCTCAGTCAATCAGGAAAGATTAAGTGACCCAAGTCTCAGGCAAGAATAGACTGGGTTAGAAGAGTTACAAAAATTGTGTTTCTCCCAGGCACCCACAGGACAAATTCACTGTGTCTTCAGTAGTGTGATTAATGGTGTCCTCCTCTCCACATGTTTCTGCACATTCCTTTGTCTTTTTTCCTACCAATATTCTATGGTAATGTCCCTTGGAAGTGGGAGCAATTAAGGAAAACATAGGAATATAACATAGCTACAATATAAAAAGAAAAATGAAAATAATAATTCCTAAGCTCTTCTTGGTAGCTTGAGTTTTTCTAGACATTGACATAACATGGCTAAAATGCCAAGGTAGGACATAATCAGTGACATTTTCAATATGTATTTCCTTCTCATCGATTATATTTTCTGCCTCTCCATGCTCCAGTCTCTCCAAAAATACACACACTCACAGAAGCACATGATACTTCCTGGGTTCCTAATGAGGTCAAAGGCTGTTCCAATCACCTCCTCTTAAACATTTTCTGAGGATAAGTTGCGGTACTTTTGAAGCAAGTGCAAGAAACTGTAGCAGAGCTCTAAGCCACAAAGGGAAATATGAATGCTGAAGAATTTAGACTTGGTCTAGCTGTTTGGTGACAACAGAAAATTATTTCATCGTTTTTCTGCTTTGTGTCTATCACTACATAAACTTTTCAATCTTGGGCTTAATGTCACACTTGCACAAACGGGCTGCAGAGTCTCTAAGGATCAAACATTCTAGCAACTACACCAAGGGGAAAAAACAGCAAAGCTCTTTGCCATCTTCTTTTTAGAAAAAACATAAATCCTTCCTGTCATGGGTCCACTCACCTCACTCCTCTCTAATCTCATTTCTCAGCTGATCATCTGGGTCTCACAATCCTTGCACCTGACTCCTTTTGAAAGAGGCTTGACATTCTTACCATGCCCAGCAAGAAAGAGATGGTAATAAACCAAACAAAAAGTGGGATACTTTTTGTGTTGTGATTTAAAATATTGCCTTATTAATAGTAATAGGCTTTGCTTATATTTTAGGTTCAACGGATAGAGATCTCTGAAGGAAACTTTATCTGCTCAAGTTGAAACAAGCCTGAAGCTGAGAATGAGAAGAAATCACATTTCTAATTATCCAGGTGCCAATGCTGGCTTCAGCAAACATGGAGTTGGGTTCTGTCAATTAGAGGCCAGCACAGACTTTCTGGTGCTGAAATCAAGGAGATCTTTGGAGGAGAGGCCTCAAGCCAGGGATGAGGTCAGGCTTGAACTCTAGAGAGCTCCAAGGGCTCTGGCCTTGTGATGGGGAGGAAGCAGCTGCTGTCCTGAGCCATGGGACCGAGGATCAGAGAAGGAAGCTACTCAACACCCACAGGGACTGAACCTAAGAGTTCTGGGCTAGGAAAAGTGTATGAGAAACCAGGACCTCAGAGTTGGGTCCTGCTCTTCTCAGGGCTGTTGTCACTGTTGTGAAAGATAAAGAATGAGAGGAGGATCAGCAAATGTCCCCTCTCAGAGTCTTGTCTCAGTCAGGTACTGTTCTTCTTAGAAAGATAAGGAGCCCTGTGAAACACATATATACATTACATATGAATTATGTTAATGTAATAAAGTATTCAATAAATATATGAATAATTTATCATTTTAATTGTTGCTATAACACTTTAAATACTGGCAGGTTGAGTATGAACACTAGATGCTTCAGTGCCTGGTCCTTCCCCACTGCAGAGCCTGAGCACCATAAAGTTCAGGATCCACCTTGACACCCAAGGACAACGCATGACTTCTGTAGCAGGCAGAGTCACAGATCTGAAAGCATATCATGTCTCCTCTGCCCACTACCTGCCCCTTCCTGTATGGGACCTGTCCAGTGTGTTTCTTCCTCTTCATCAAGTGGAGCCTTCAGTGGGTTCTGCCCCTCTTCCTCTGAAGGCCACTTCAAACTTACTACACACATGTCTGCTACATCCTGGCTTTTGTTCTCCTCCACATGCTTGGTCAGTGCTGCCATTGTTCTACCTGACTTCAAGCCTCCTTAGGGAAGTTTCAAGTTAATCAGGCCATGGCCAGTGAAGATCAGAAAGCAGAAAATTTTCAGAGTGGCTCATGGGAAAATGTCTCTTCAGAAATGTGAGCCATGAGAGCCAGATAAATAATTCCCACGGCCTAGAGGCGGCTCCTACTGTTAATTGGACAGTGTCACTTCTTCCCCAGAGTTCCTAAAATGAAGCTGCTGTGTTTTGTGTATCAGGGGATTGGTTTGCCACCTAGTGGTGAATTTGGGACATAAGAATTTACAGGATTTTCAGTTTGGAGTTTTCATCGTTTAACTTTGATTTTTCAAACAAAAGTTTTGGGGAGGAAAATTTCTCACACCATGGCAGCCAAGAAGCAGAGAAAGAAGGAAATGTCCATAGACAAGAACACACCCTTTGAGGTCCCACCTCCATTAACCCAAGTCTTCAGACCCCACCTCCTAACAGCACTTTCAGCTATGAACTCATCAGTCTACCGATAAGTGTAGTGCCCACATGATCCAATGACCTTCCCAAAGACCTGCCTCTGAAAGCATGAGACTTGGGGACATTTTATTTGCAACCATAACACATCCCAACCTTAGCTCATTGCAGTGAAGTACCTCATATATTGATGATGTTGATCAGAAAGTACATAAGATGATTTCTAATGCTGGGAAAAGGAGACCTCTTTGAATAGCAAAAAACTTAATTCAGACAGTGGAAAGCAAATTGAAGAACTTGTGAGTTTTCTTGTAAGCCAATAAATGGAATATGTTAAAGGAAAAGGAGGCAAAACTAAAGTGAGACTCAATATTACAGACAACCCTCATTTTATGGAATATTTTAAAAGTTGGGCCTTGCAGGCAGTGTAGTCTGGTAGCATAACTAGTGACTCAGATCTGTATCATTGGGTAATTACAGACATAATTTCATATATATATGCTACAAGTATTCTTTTATTTTGGGTGACATTCATTAATTTCCTAATTTTATTAGATTTTCAACTTTAGGGTATAGAAATGTGTTCAAATATACAGTGAATGTATAAATTTAGAAATTTAATACACTATAAAACAAATCCCCTTAAAAATACTACTCTTTGCTTTGAAATCATGTTCACATTCTGTCGTTCTTGCCACTTCTTGAAGAAGTTCTGAAAGTCTTCCTTCATGAGTGTCTGATAGGGTATGATAAATACAGTGACAGCTATTATCAAGTGTCCTCCAATGGACAGGCAGGCTCTTAAAATCATTACAATGTGTTCTCATTTAGCTTTTCAGTGGATCTGGATGAATGCAACTTATGACTCTTTCCCAAAGTCAAAATTAACATGAAAGATAAACGTCTTCAGCTCCTAGGCCAGAGAAGCTCAGCCAGTCCCAGAAGAATCCGGAAGGAAGCTCCCTGCTTCCACCCCAGGCTCCTAGGGCAGAGGTGAGCCGGTCCCAGCACCCAGAAGGAAGCTCCCCCACCACCATCCCAAGCTCCTAGGGTAGAGGAGCTGAGCTGGTCCCAGAACCCAGAAGAAAGCTCCCCCGCTGCCATCCCAAGCTCCTAGGGTAGAGAAGGTGAGCCGTGTGGGTGCCAGAAATACACCCTCCCATGGAAATGAGAAGACATGTAAACAAGTCTGAAAAACAGACTTCTGGGTCACCTACAGCAACCCCAAAGGGAAACGAGATGGAACAATCTGATACTCAACCACCTGAACTCTCTGAACTGGAAACAAAAGAGGATCTGGGAAAAATGAAATCAGAAATAATTACTCAGATAACAGCAAAGATTTTGCTCATGGTGCAAGACATGA